TAATTGGGGCATTAAGCAGTTTTTTTTTCATTCTCCCATCTATGTGCTTAACGCACACTTCTAAAGTAATTGTTAACTTCCTCGATGTGTCCAGTGATAGAATTAGGTGATACTTCTTTTTCAACCAAATTTAAAAAACCCACCAAGTGGGTTTTTTCAAGGTGGGCCCACCCAATAAAACCCGGTTGGGTTTTTTCAACGTAGGCCCACACGTGCGAACCCTGCTTTATATATATATATATATATATATATAATGAAACCAGGTCACTAGTGTAAAGTAACGGTAATGATTTTATTAACTCACAAATGTAGTTATATATACAGTACACAAAAACTCAAAAATAGTAGCCAAAATTGGCGGCACATTTATCCCATTGCGATGTTAGCTAGTCGATTCCATCTTTGAAGGACCCAGTAGGCTGCTATCGGATCCAGGGCTGGTCCCAGTCACACGCGTTGTCGTCCGTAGTGAATCGATGTCCGCGAATAGCTTGTTTCAGACTTTCGGTGGATGCTCCAGACTTTCCCACCAAAACTGTTGCAATATCGTCTTCACCGCATTGGCAGTGTGTATATGCAAGCCATTATCATGCAGGAGAATAACGTCATTGGACAACATGCCTGACCGTTTCGACTTGATGGCTCGTTTAAGGTTCTTAATAAAGTGGCTTGATTACGCTGGGCATTAATGGTGATCCCCCGTTCCAGGAACTGGACAAGCAGTGGACCCTTGTGGTAAAAAAAAGGACATCATGACCTTACCAGAACAAGTGTGCACGGCCTTTGATTACTTTGGAGGTGGTGAAGTAACTTGTTTCCACTGCTTGCTCTGACACTTGCTTTCTGGTTCAAAATGGTGACATCATGTTTCGTCTCCAGTAACAATATGCGACAGAAAGCAGTATTCCTCCTCATGATAACGTTGCAAATGTATCAAAGACAGCACCCTTCGAGTACTGTGAGGTTCGGCGGTCAGTTGGTGGGGAACCCACTGAGTACAAATGTTTCGAAAGTTCAAGTGTTGATGCATTATGGTGTAAATACTGCCCACGCTAATACAAAGTAACCGATGGATCTCGTCCACGGTAATTCTGCGGTTGTCCAAAACTAAATCTTTCACTTCGGCAATCATTTCCGGTGTGATGACACGATGAGCCTGTTCAGGACAAGCATCATCTTCCAGTAACTCGCGCCCCTCAAGGAATCGTTTACGCTATTCCACAACACTTGAACGACTCACACTATACTAACATATAGATAGATAGATTAAAAATATGCATAAAACATTTCAAAAAATGATTTTGGGGAGTGAATTTTCGAACAAAGTTTTTGAAAATATTTTTAGTTAATTTGCATAGAAATTTAAATTTTTTTCTTAGCCTGCACCACCTCTCATTCCTGAATTTTACGGGATTTGTTTTCATGGGTATATATAGTGTTAGGAATTTTTGCCTGACCAACAGAGGGCGCTGTACTCATTCACAATTATTCTGAGTATGTTATGGACGGCAACGGATGGAATGGAAGGCTTATTGAGATGCCTAGCAATATCTCATTGTTTGTTTTATTGTTCACAATTATTAAATTTGTTATGATTAAATATGGCCTTCTTATTCACTGCACCATTCTACATTGAATCATTCTGCAACTTATTTGTCTCATGACACTTATATTTCTCAAAGTTAATTTCATTTTGTTTCGTTAAGTTCAGCTATTTACTTTTTATTTTATGCCATGCATAATTCCTAGCATAATTAGAAAAAAACCAGCCGAACTTACATGCAAAATTAAAAAAAAAACGTAAAACATTAGGGAAGTAGATTTTTTTGCGTAAAATTAACCATACTTTTTTATTTGGCTATGAGGCTACCATCTACTTCCTTATTTTGTAGAAATAAGAAAATTTAATGACGATACATATTTTTATTTTAGACGGATATAGGTATATCCGAAAAGTATGACTTGCATATAAACTAAACTTAACCATATATTTTAATTGGCTATGAGGACTATAATTTACATATGAAACCTATTTCAAATAAACATTGTGAAGTTAAAAAAAAACTAAAATAAATAAAGAAAGAGCAAAATGTCATCAAATTATCAGATGGTCTTTAATTTTTGGTCAGTTATAGATAAAAATTAGTTTAGTAGNGTTCTGTACTTGAAGCGCTTCACCTACTCTACGTCTCACGTATTTTCTACCATCACTTCCAAAGAGCGATATTTTACTCTCATCACTCCAGATTACTTGCTTCCATTGATTTTCTGACCATTTAATGTGTTCTTTTGCCAACTTAACTCGTTTTTCGCATTGCTTTTGATTTAAATATGGTTTTTTCCTTGGAATTCTAGCTTGTAGTCCAAATCCTGATAACCTTCTTCTTATTGTTCTTGAACTTACTGCAATACTAGCTCCATTCACTTCACATCTAATGACATCTGATGACATTTTTCTCTCTTGAAGGCATAGCCATTTAATTTTTCCATCGGCAGTAGCACTGGTGCATTTTTTTCGGCCTGATTTGACATCCTGAGTGCCAAAAAATACATCGAAACTATCCTGAAACCAAAATTGATACCTTCCATCAGAGATCTCTTCCCCAACAACGCACCATTTATTTTTCAGCAGGATTCAGCTCCATGCCACACAGCAAAAGTATGCAAGGCATGCTTTCAAAATAAAGGTATAGATATATTACCATGGCTAGGAAACAGCCCTGATCTCAATCCAATTAAAAATTTGTGGCGACGTTTGAAAATTCTTGTACGAAAAAAATGTCCATCCAATAAAAGACAACTAAGTGAAGCTATAATTGATTCTTGGCACCATGTGATTATATATATATATATACAGGTGGTTATCAAAATAATGGAAACATCCTAGATTTTGAAGGCTTGGGAACTGCTGTTCTGCCTTAAATGTTCTTTTTATGAAGGTATCTCCTAACTGTAATTGTTGACACTGGAGAATCCAGATGCTGATTGAGCTCTGCGGTAACTTTGGCTGCAGTTGTTTTCTTTTTACACATTACAATCCGCTTCAATACCCGTCGGTCTCTTTCACTCAGCTTCTCCTTCCGTCCACTATTTTGCTTTGCTGAGCTTGTCTTTGCGTTCTGTGTGTATGCTGTCATGACTTTAGACACCGTACCTCTAGAAACGCCTAAAAGCTGGGATGTTCCGGTCACTGTTGCTCCAACTAGTCGGGCTCCTACAATTTGGTCTCTCTGAAAATCTGTGAAGTCTGACATTTTACGCTTCTGACAAAAAATCAAAACGTAGACAACTCTGCTAAAGCTCTCTCATACCACCTAATATATGTACTTTTTATATTAAAAAAAACTGATAGCTAAGACTATATTTTAATGCTTATGAAGCGAATTCTTAAATGTCCCTTTTATTCACTAGTGTTTCCATTATTTTGATAATCACCTGTATATACACACACAGAGAGAGAGAGAGAGAAAGATGGAAAATATGAAAGATTAATGGAAAGAGAAGAAAAAAATATTGAAATAAAATACTTAAAAAAATAATAGTTAAGGCCGGAAAACAAAAAGCAATTAAAAGATATAATCTGTTCATCAGCTCATTCTACTATATCCGCAACTTACAATATTATTCCGACTTTTTAGTATTTTTTAAATTTTTGTTTAAATATTTTGTTTTAATAATTTTATTCTTTTTTCATTAATTTTTAATATTTCCCTTATTTTCTTCATAATTTTAACTTATCTTAGGCGTTCTATATGCTGGCAGTTTATGCGTAGTAAATAAAATTTATTAATTTTCTTCGTTTTTCTCTCTTTTTATTTTCTTCTTGTCTTTATTATGCTAGATATATATAATTTTGCGTGACGAGGTTGTATGAATTGAAGATAACACGAAAAAAAAGCCCACTAAATTTTTTAAAAAAAAACATTTCTCCCTTAAAAGAAAATGAGTTCCAATCCAATTTAAACTGCTAATTATGAATTGTAAGTGTGAGTTTTCTATTTGTTATTTTATGTTAGCGATGTGAACATTAAAGATAATTAATTTGCCTAGACCCCCTAACTATAACCCCCCAAAAAAACAACCAAATATTAAAAAATATCCACAAAATTATTATTTAGTTATAAAACTTCACAAATCCCCCTAACTGTAACTCCCCCCCCCAAAAAAAAATAATNTGAGTTTTCTATTTGTTATTTTATGTTAGCGATGTGAACATTAAAGATAATTAATTTGCCTAGACCCCCTAACTATAACCCCCCAAAAAAACAACCAAATATTAAAAAATATCCACAAAATTATTATTTAGTTATAAAATTTCAAAAATCCCTCCAACTATAATCCCCCCCTTCGAAAAAAAAACAATCCCTTCCTACCAAATATTAAAAAATATCCACAAAATTATTTTTTAGTTATAAAACTTCACAAATCCCCAACTATAACCCCCTCCCCCCAAAAAAAAGCAATCCCTCCCTACCAAATATTAAAAAATATCCACAAAATTATTATTTAGTTATAAAATTTCAAAAATCCCTCTAACTATAATCCTCCCCCCCGAAAAAAAATAATCTCTCCCTACCAAATATTAAAAAATATCCACAAAATTATTTTTTAGTTATAAATTATATAAAAAAAGTGCCCTACTTAAAAATGTTATGGTTCCTTGACTTGCCCCCCTTCAAGTTAGTCCGAGCACTTGTTACTTGTATTTGCGCCCGAAACCCTCAGTATTTTGTTAAACACTTTTTTTGGCTTAACAGTTTTCAAAATGCATGCGAAGTTAGAGATAAATCAGAGGTTGCTACTTTTCTTTAACTCATTAAAAAAAAAAAAAAATATATCATTTCGAAAAACTTCTTTTCGTTATAAAATATTGAGCCGGTGTGTTCGTGCTGAGCCTTTTTTAAACTCCAATCTCTACCTTTTTTTTTTCATTTTGAAATTTTACGAAAAAAAAAGAAGAAAGAAGTCATTGACAGGCGTACTTTTAAAACAGTTTCGATCTTCTAAAGCCGTTAAAATAAACATTGCGAAAGGTGTACTATTGTTTATATTTTCTCTGGAAATGATACCTCAAAACTAAAATTTATTAGAGATTATTCATTATTAGTTTTGATTTGTAGCTAACAAGTCACGTTCAATTTACGCTCTTCTCCCAAACTCGGACTAGTGGTGCACCAAGTTTAAATTTCTACACGGAATTCACGTAAGTATTTTGATATTTTATTTTTATTTATTTATTTTATATATTTATTTTATGTATTTATTTTATATATTTATTTTATATATTTATTTTATATATTTATTTTATATATATTTATTTTACATATTTATTTTTGTTTTATTTTCTTTAAATTGCAACTAATTTTATTGAGCTTGAATTAAAACCATATGTTAGCTCAATGACGTCTAAACTGCAGTGCAATTGAAAAAGCAACGTAAGTGGTTCATGGTAGGTTTCGATGAAAGTGACTTGATAACTATTTTCTTTCTATTGCTAATGCTATGAATGCTAAAATAGAATTTCAAAATACTGATAACAAAATTTAATTTTGGAAAAAAAACTTTTTGCAATGAATAGCTTATCATACAAAAATGCCTAATGTATTAAAATTTCAATTTTGAGTTTTTTTTTCGCTTACGTTTATTTTTCTATTGCACGGTACTTTGGATGGTTGACCGAATGTAAACAATAACAAGCTTTCTAAAATCGGAAGAAATTTAGAAAACTTTCAGTCTATCCCTCCACTTATGTTATGCTTACGAGGCAGGGCCGGATTAAGCATAGGCGGGGCCCTAGGCCATTCAAATTTTTGGGGCCCTTAGATTAAATTTTTTTCTCGTCTCGTATATTTTTTATTATTTCAAATACAGTCGAACCTCGCTAACTCGAACCTCGATTTCACGAATTTTTCGATATCTCGAAGAAAAAAAAATTCCCTTCAAATTTCCTATACACTCAATGTTAAAAAAAACTTGATTTCACGAATTTTTTTTTCTAATCCCTTTGATAACTTGAATTTTTTTCTCCATAAATAGTGTAGATTTTCCTTCTAAAAGTAAAAAAATATTCCAAAAAAAAAAAAAAATTTTAAGAATGGCTGACAAGGCATGGAATGATGTGTCCTCCTCTACGATAATAAATGGCTTCAAGAAGTCTGGATTCATTAAAGATCACGAAAGTAGTCAAACAATCAATATCGTTAATTCTGCTGAAAACTACACTGAAAATGATTGGAACAGACTGACCGGACTCATGAAGCTTGATGACATGAAATTTCCTGACTTTGTAAACGTAGATGATGCAGTAACAGTGTGTGGTCAGTGGGATGATAATGATATCATCGTGCAAACGAAAGCTTCTTGCGAACTATCAGAAGAAGAGGAAGAGGAAATCGAAGATTTACCGCCCAATGTTACTGACAAACAAGCACTTTCTGTAGTAGACACTGTAAGGAGATTTATTGAGGGGCAGCCGAATATGTCACAGGAGACATTTAAAGCTATAGTCCACTTAGAAAGTGTTATAGAAAAACTTTCTTACACATCTCTAAAGCAAACAACAATTGAATTTTTTTTTTAATGAAAGTGTAAAAAGTGTTTTTAAAATAAATATGGAATAATAAATAAGTTTTTTAAAACCCTTTTTTTTATTCTACCATCGATCTCATGCGATTTTCGATAATTCGAATTTTCGATATCTCGAATTTTTTCTCCTCTGCCTTCAGTTTCGAGATATCGAGGTTTGACTGTAAAAAAATATTTATATGTCTTTTCATTTAAGAAAGCATATTTTAAATAAAAATAAATAATAATAAATTAAATTTTACTTTATTTTGTTAAATTAAAACTAAAAAATATTCATAACATTTTATAATCATGACATATATGTTTGAAATAGATTTCTTTTTTTAAAAAAATCATTGTTTTTCTTAGTTTTTTTAAATTTATTTTAAAAAAATACATTTAAAGGGGGCCCCAGGCCATGGCCCAGTCTGGCCTGGGCCAATCCGGCACCGTTACGAGGTGATGTGTAAACCGGTTTAGTTTTATTATTGTGATTTGTGTTTGAATTTACGCATAATTTTACCATTCATAATAATGTTTTGTAATTTATAAATTCTACAAGGTTGTGAGCCTGAAAAATTTAAAAAAAAATTAATATCGCACCTTAAATAAAGTGAAAGGTTTGCCATGTATTGAGTGATATCCCTCATTGGCTATATTAGTGTAAAATATCGCAGTTTGTTATTTTTTGTATAGCTTGCGGAGTCTTAAGAATTCATTTGTTTTTGTGAAATTTAAATTGATTGATGACAATACAATAAGAAAGATGCTGCTTTTTTGAACCCACTGGAACAAGAAAACGGGAAAGGCCGCGGTTGAGATGGGCGGACTCGGTGGAGTCAGATTTTCTTGCAATTAATGAAAAGAATTGGAGATCGAATATAAATTGGAAATCATTATGGAGAAATCTTCCGAGGAAGGCTCCCAGCGGACTGTCTGGCTAACTATGATGATGATGATGAAATTTAAATTGAAAGAGCGCGTTTTATTGTAAACATCACAAGTATGATAATATGAACCGTGATGGCTCAGGGGATAGTCCCTTGTCTTCTGAGTTGGGTTCAAAATTACAAGGCTACGGAGTTGAACGTTAGTATTCCTAAACCCAAAAATTGGGTCGGATGTTTAACGACGGTTATAAAAATAATAAGTATGATAATATGGCCTGGTTGGTAGGGCACTGGGCCCATGCCTAAGAGCTCGTGGGTTCGATCCCAGCCTGCCGAAGACTCTCCATGTAGTAAATGGTGACTGATACACGTTAAATCTGTCTAGTCACAAAGTCCTCTATGTTCCCATAACAAATCAATGCCTCTGGGAGTACTGATCCAGTAGTTTCCTTGTCTTCTGGATTGGTACAAAATTAGAAGGCTACGGAGTTGAACATTAGTAGTCGTAAACCCAAATTAGGTCGGCTGTTCAACGACGGTTATAAAATAAAATAAAAAAGGTATGATAATATTGAATAATTATTAGCTTTAAGTCGAATTTTTACCCCTCGCGTCATCCTTGCTTAAGATTTTTGTTTCTATTATTTAAATAATTTACCTGACGTTTTTTTTCATTTAGTTTTTTTTCCTTCAGAAATTTAGTTTTAAGAGCAAATAACACTCCCCCTACAAAAAATTATAGATCTTTCGATAAATTATTAATTTGTATGCTTTTTTTGGGATTCAGATTTGTTTAATAAAAAATTATAACACGATATGTTAGCTTAATGACGTGTATAGAAATTGGTTAAGACAGAACAGTCGCCAAACTTTGCGGAGTCTGTGGGAAAATGGTTTGCATAAGATGCGTCATTAGATTTTTTTTGTTTTGTTATTAAAAAGCAGTTTAATTTTATTATTAGTGTTTTTTCAACTCAATTCTTTTCCAGTACTAAGATAAGCACCTTTGTACTTGTTCAGTTTTCAATGTTAAATGTTTGAGAACAGCATAGAAAATCTGATTCAAACTTAGCTTTGCAGATATGCAAAAAGGTGCAGTGAAGGGTTAAGAGGTTATTTTTAATTTGTGTGTTCTCCATATTTTTTTCTACTTAAAAAGCTTTTGATAATACATATTTTATTATTAGACAGTACAATACCTTTAAAAAATGTAGAAAATATAGGAACTGCTTTATCAGATTAAAAGATATAGCGCTTGTTAATTTTTAGAACTTATATTAATTTTTCCTCAAAATTTTAAAGCAATTAAATTATGCTCTTACTTGTTTTGAGTAAATAATTTAAAATTATACGTTTCTTATTTTTCAGATATTTTAAAAACTAATTTTATTAAAATTGAAACTGATGAAAACCGATTTGGATTACGCTAAAAAAATTCTTCTAACGTCAGTTGCATAAAAATTAAGATACTTATCAAAAATCTAAAAACAAGCAACTGTATACCATTTAACTACCTATCAAAATCTGTTGATCGCAGAATTGTATTGGCATGATTTTGTCATAAAAAATTGAAAGAAAATCTAAATAAGCACACTCTTTATACCGCAAACTGTGATTGAGTGTCAACCTTCCATTTTACGAGTATTGGAAGATGCTACTGGGTATATCAATCATTGGTTTCTTTGTGAAAATTAAATAAAAAGGATTAAAAGCATTTTCAGTATTTTCTCACCCCGTTTGAGGATGGTTGAGTTCGGTCCGAAGAAGAAGAACCTCTTAAAGATAGAGAAAAAGAAATGCTGAATTGAGAAATTGTGAAGGAAGGTTGGTAGGTACTTTATTTACGTCGCACTAGAACTGCACAATGGGCTATTGGCGACGGCCTGGGAAACATCCCTGAGGATGATCTTAAGACATGCCTCCGCAAGTTTGATCTTCTGCTGGGGGATGGTTCTCCTGCTTTGGTAGCCTGACGACCTGCGCGCGAAGTCAAGCCCTTTACGGTAGAACAGTTTAGCGAGGACTGATACTGCACACCCTCGGTCCTTACGTAGGCTGATCAAAGTGGTCACCCACCCGCTTACTGACCGCAGCCAGTAATGCTTAACTTCGGTGTTCTACAGGGAACCGTGTCTTTAAGATCAGTCCACTCCGGGACGCCTAGAAGTGTTATCGTAATAGTTAAAAATAGAAACGCATATAGTATAAGAAAATTAATTAGCTTACCGAAATGCAGACATTTTTCAATTTCATGTCATTTACGAAATTTTTTACGCAGCATTAAATTTTTTTTGGCAGCACATAAAAGGATAGGTGGGTTTCGTATTTTTTATTTTTATTTTATAAGAAAATTCAGTTTTGAAATATATGAGTTTCTCTGTTGTTGTTGTTGTTTATTTACGTCGCACTAGAGCAGCACAATGGGGTATTGGCGACGGTCTGGGAAACATCCCAGAGGATGATCCGAAGACATGCCATCGCAATTTTGATCCTCTGCGGAGGGGATGTCATCCCCGCTTCGGTAGCCCGACGACCTGTGAGTTTCTCTGTGCCACGATGAGAAGTCATGTCAATACAGTTGACTTTAGAATCAAAATGCTATATTAATTAAGATACAAATATATATTTTTAAAATTATAGAAAGTTATATTTTAAATGGTAGTCAAATCTTTGTTGAACTCCTATATTTTTTATTATATTTTATTGAAATTACATACATTTGCTGACTTGTGTGCTTAATATGTAGGCTTATAAGTCATTGTCAAGTAGAAAATACAGATAGAACAATTCAGAGAAAGACATCACAAAGAATACATCCAGGGTTACGGCGGGATTCGAACCCGCTACCTCCACGCTTAACAGAGCGTTTGGACCGGCGATACCGCTCGGCCAGGGAGGCCCCATTGAACTCCTATACTATACATTGTTATCTGAGTTAAACTTTGAAATTTGATTCGAATAAGAAATATTTTGGCAAGGTCCTGGCCAGGTGGCCGAGCGGTAAGCGTGCCTGACTGTGAAGCCAATGGTTGTGGGTTCGAATCCAGCTCAGGGCATGGATGTTTGTCTTTGTGTGTTGTTCTCTATTGTGTGAACGGGTCCCACCGTATAAACGGGTATCTGTGGCAGTGTGGCGTGTGTAATGTTGCTTGCTTTCCATGACTTAGGTTCACAAGTACCCACTGGGTAACGTTAAATGAGCAACACTTCCGGCATCTTCCCAGGTGAAGTATGAAAGTTCAGTGCCTGCAGTAGAAAGTTCGCATCATGAAACTCACACTTAAAAAGTAATCCCACTAATAAGATCCCCTAATGTAAAAACTTTAAACGCGATGTTTTAAAGTAAAGTTTGAAATGAATGTAACAATTTTTAGAAGCTTTCAAGGTCTCTCCTATGAATCTTATTTAATTTCTAAAATAAATAAATAATCTTTCACCCCCCCCCCAAAAAAAGAGTAAAATTAGAGTTCTCGTGACATACAAGACAATTTTGCATTTCTTTATTAAATTATTTCCTTATTAACTTTTAGAACTATATGTTTCATATAAAAATCTTATGAACATTCAGCACAAAAATTAAGGTTGTCTTATGATATTTGGAATTTAATTTATACTTTTAGATTACTTCAGATTTTTACATTAAAGATGTCATATATTGAAGCTAAATGGGTGATTATCATATTGTGCTTGTTGCTCTGTCCTATGACTATGAAGATGGAAGGTAAGTTAGTTCTCTGAGAACTGGCTATTCAATTTAAAAGTGAATTCCTGATTACAGTGTTGTAGAAGCCACTAAAATTTCATGACATCTCTGTCCCATCTCATGTCTCTCTGAATCTGCAGCATGAAATGTTTCTGTGAGCAAATAAATAACTTGTCATTTAACCTATTCGTTCAGTAGTCCGCGCCGCTGAAGAGACAATCCTAAATGGTGCACCGTGCCGAGAAGTGCGCACATTGAGGGTGTTCGTATTTAAGTGCTAGCTAACAATATATTTAGAGATAGTGCGAGGATTATAATTAAAAATCTATTCAGGATAATTCAAGATATAATCTTAGTAATTTTATTCAGCATGATAAACTTTGAAACAGGGGTTGACTCACAAACCCACATTGCGATTTTGCATTCCTACTTAGATTCTTAGCTTAGCTTAGATTCTCGCAAAAATACACTTTTCGTGGTGTTAATTCAATATAGGTTTATAGAAAATTGATCAGTAGCAGTTTGGGGGAGCAGATTGATTCGGTTATCAAACCGCATCATGCTAACGCTGCTTAAATACTGCGTTCGTACACACATGTTGTCGCGTGGATGCCTTCTAAAAACGACACTCAACGAAAAAGCTAACTGGTATAAAATTACAAAGGTCCCCGCACAAGCCTAATCTAAATTAATTCTCTGTCAAATTGGTGGGAAATATAATACGTTGTAGTTCAAAACATTCTGATCAAACATTCTCATTGACACAAAATCAAAAAATCGGTTGTTTCCGAGGAATGGAGACTCAAACATAAATATTAATTCTCTAATACCGTCACGAAACTAGAATTTACCCATGTGCACCAAGTAAAGGTTATCGTAAAGGAATTTGTAAATGAAAGCATTTAAAGTTAGATTATGTAATGAAAGGACTTGTAGGATGTCAGGCTAAATAGGTAGATGAGCTTAGGCTAAATGAATAGCCAGCATTATTTCTTTGCATTCACCTTAGCCAATGTTACGCGCAAGCATTGGATTAGCACCTATCACTGCAGTGACCGTTGCACAGTGGGCCAACATCCAAGGTTTCGTGGTCAAAATTAATATTTCAATAAAATTTGTTTCAAAATTTGTATTTAGCGTTTTTTTATGTGCAGGTAAATTGAATTTATAGTTGAAAATTTGAAATACACAAAAAATACCTCCCCCCCCCCAAAAAAAATGGCGGCTGAAATATGGCAAGCAAAAATAAAAAAATTATATAGTACGTAAAAATAATTAAATATAGCAATGAAAATAAAATAATTTTCGTAATTTTACATTAAAAATGAAAAGCAAATTATATTTCCGGAGTAATATTACAAAATGACGCGAATTAATTACAAAATAACGCGAAAACATGAAAAAAACATAATTTTTGTTTTTCGGTATATTTAGTCCACCTTTGCAATACGGGCAAAATGGGGCAGGTTTTTTCGAAAGATGAAATATCAAAGAAGACAACAAAAAAAAGTTTAGCTAATTACCTCGTGGAACTTTTTGGAACTAAGTTTCGAAAGTCATTCAAACATTGTAAATTGTCAAATGATAAGATATAAACTATAAGTTTGTCAAGAGTCAACTAATCCAATAAATTGAAAAATTGTACTTTAATTTACTACTATTTACTCTGATAAAAATGTAGCAGCAAGGTGAAATTCCTATATATATTTCTAAAATAAAAATTTAAAAGTTGCATTTAAAACAATTTTTTTAACATATTTTTCATTAAATTGTACTCTCGTCGGTCCAAAAAGTAAATTATAATGTTTGGAATGATTATTATGAATGCTTAATTTGGGATATATTAAAACTGCCTACACATATTTTAGTTGAAAAATTAATTTTCTTCTTTTGATCAAAGATCATAGTCTTCTGGCCCACAGTGCGTTGCATATATCTCACATGTTTGAAGCTCCGTATTTCGAAAACTATTCAATTTTGGACGTTGTGTCAATGAGAACTTTTGCTCAGAATGTTATGAATTGTAACATATTAAATTTTCTTCCGATTTGATCGAGAATTAATTTCCGTAAGATTTCTGTAAGATCCTTTGAATTCAATGCCTCAGCGCAAAATTTTTAACAAAAAAACATTATAAGATATCAAGACTTTATATTACTGTAAGAACCTAGCAAATAACTTATGTAAGCTGGTGCAAAGTTTTAGAAAAATAAATGACTTTGGAAAATAAGACTTACGGAAGAAATGACTTTTTGAAAAATATTTTTTTTTAAGCAACACTATAAAAATATTTTATTTTAAATTATCAGTTTTTAAAATATTTGAAAACTTTATCATTACAAATAAAAAAAATCTAACATATTGCTGATTTTCAATCTTTTAGGACAGAACTCAGAAAATCCTCTTTCTTCCAATGGGTTTCTCTCTTACAACGCCAGTAAAGCGGCAATGGAAACTGCAATTGAGACTTATAAACATTCTTTTGGAATTAATTTGTGGTATGAAGCTCAAGTAGTTACCTATGCTAATACAGGAGTTTTTTTATCGGATAGAACCCGAATTATTGCTTTTTTCACTCTTAGTTTGTTTATAATTAGTCTCATAATAGTAGTAGCACTCTTAGATTAGTTTAGCCGTAAGGAAAACGTTAACGTTAGCCTAAAAATAATGAATTAATCATTCCAGCTCTTCATATAACTTTAAACAATGTTAACTTTTGTGATATCATTGGAAAAAAAATTATTTTTTGTATATGAATTAATATTTTAACAGAAATTTGTCAATATTTTAATAAAAAACTCGTAAATATTTTAATAAAAAATTTACAAGTCTGTCAATGTTGTCTTAATTGCTTAATTTATATTGCGAATATTCACTAAGGAAATGAATGTTTTAGTTGTGATTAATTTTTACCTGCACTTTGTGTAACACACACGCACACACTCTCTCTCTCTCTATATATATATATATTGTATATATATACAGGGTGGTCCCGAATTCATGGTACAAACTTTAATGGTAGGTACAGGACATTGTAACAATGATTTATTGTATAGGAATGTATAGTCGCAAGTGACGCGGTGAGGCGTAAACAGGGGAAATAAAAGGAAAGAGAAATGGAGTGATCGGTTGGTATCATTGCCGGTAGAGGGCAGTAGATGTCTAGCCGCAGTGGAAAATGATGCATCGCAGTAGGGAAAAGCGCCATTCACAATTGTGCTGCCGTAGACGATGGGTGACTTTACGTATGCAGAAAAAGCAGACATGCATTACATGTACGGCCGTGCAAATGGTAACGGCAGAGCTGCGTTACGAATGTATCGCGCGGAGTATCCTGATCGACGAATGCCGGATCATAGAATTTTTCAACGGTTACATCGNGAGAGAGAGAGAGAGAGAGAGAGAGAGAGAGAGAGAGAGAGAGAGAGAGAGAGAGAGAGAGAGAGAGAGAGAGAGAGAGAGAGAGAGAGAGAGAGAGAGAGAGAGAGAGATAGAGAGAGATAGAGAGAGAGAGAGAGAGAGAGAGAGAGAGAGAACACAGGTTTTTTTTGAAAGCTTAAAAAGATCTCTATGATTGCGAATCAAATTTTGGTGCTGGTCTTTTAACGCGAAGCTACACCATACCAATTGAAATTTGTTTTGTCTAAGAAGACCCCGGCTTGTTGCAAGAGCAGTGTACTGTCCACCTTTCAAAAGAAATCCTTTCGACTATAAGTCTGAGGATGTCTACTACCATGGAAACAAGTGTAAGCTTATTTCTGATGGCGAAAAAATGGCATGACACTCCCTACCTTACAAAAGTAAAAACAGTTAACTTCATTCATCCATTCGAAGTGATTTATCTTCATAATTACTGCTTACGTGCGTGTCTAGTGTCTGCAGAAGTTCTCCTGACGTTATTATTTTTTCTATTTTAATGCATTTTTGCCTTTGATGGCGTAGTTCCGATTAGAGAAAGATCAGGGAGCACTTGCAGTGCTTATCCTCTCTTGTGTGGTAAATAGTTTGGGAAAATTTACATGAACCTATAGTCTTTGTAATTTTATTTGGTTTTCATAAACTACTTCTGAATCTAGATTTGGCTTGCTCTTGCACCGAACTCCTGAACTATATAGCTGTTTCAATGCTATGAGCAATCAGGGTAGAAACAAGAATAAAAAAAACAATGCCACAATTTATTGTTTAAAAAATATCATACAATTTTCTTTGTAATACATGTTGAAACGTGATTACTGGCTTGTAAGAGGAAATTGAAAACTTCAATTAGGAAAGCCAAGTTTAGAACGCATTTTACAATATTAATTTACTTGCTCAAATATAGGCTCCGCAATATTTATTTTTGATATTTTCAGTAGTTTGCTTCGCTAAAAGTTTCCATTTTGAATTAGAGTTCTAGCCTCTGATAAACGTTGAAAATTGTGATTTTTCCGAAATAGTGATAATTTTAAAAATAGAGAGTTTAGCATATGATTTTAGAAATTTGCTATGCAAAACTTTTATTTTATGACTGATTTTTTCAGCGATCGTCACATTAAAACGGAGCTGCAACACTAAACACTTTAAATAACACAAGCTTAGAAATATATTTTATTCAATATTCATAACAAAACTTTTTTTGACAAATGTCAGTATTCAAAAAATAACATTTTTATTCAGAATGAAATCATGTTTAGAATTTGGTATAATTTTTTACTGAAAATTGCCAAAAGTTTCAAGGGGGCAGAAGACTTTAAACTCTGTATTACACATGTTTCATTACATGTATCAATGCGAGAAGTTTTGGGAACTATATAGTTGAAAGAGTAAAGAATCCTTAGACAAAAGGATTATAGAGCTTAAGGGTGAACAGTTTTGAGATGCGATTATCATACAGTTTTTACTTCAAACTGCAACCCATTGATCTGAAACTGGTCTAATTTATTTTGAATATTATATAGATACAAGTTGCTTTATGCCCCGCTTCAAAAATATTGAAAATTTACAAATTCTGATTACACGCAAGTAAAATGTCCCTTCTGTAATTGTTTAGAGAGAAATCTTTTTAAATTTTTAAATTAGATTTATAAAGATTATAAAAACTTAAACTTTTGTACCCATGCAAAAGTTTGAGACTATTTCAAGTCTCATTCATTTTAAACGTCATACGATCAAGTTTATATAAAATATTAATCCTTTCCTCAATGGCACGACAGCCCCGGGTGGGCCCTGGCCTTCTCAATCAACTTCCTCCAGGCCTGCCTCTGCCTGGCAGTTGTCTTCCAGTTTGAGACTTTTAAGACTGAAATGTCTCTTTCCACGCAGTCGGCCCATCTCAGCTTTGGTCGACCTTGGTGGGCCTTGGTCCGATGGGCTGAGCCGAAAAGATTATGTTTGTCGAACGCTCTCTGTTCATTCGAATGATGTGACCAGACCATTAAAATATTAATAGCATGAACTTTACTGCCCAAGCGCTAATAAAAAGTTTATTTTGAATTTTAATATTCTCTTGAAAGTTCACATCCGACATACAAAAAAAAAAAAAAAATTAAGTTTCGAATATGTAAATTTTAAGAAAAATTATACACCGAAGAGCTATTACATTATGACCACCCTGCTAATAACATGTAGGGCCACCTTTAGCCCTCAAAACTGCTAGCACCCGCCGTGGCATTGATTCCACAAGGTGCTGATAGGTAGTCTGGGATACCTGGTACCAAGCGCTCGCCAACTGGTCCTGCAATTCCCTCACATTGCGAGGGGGGTAGCTTGGCAGCACGAATTTAGCTTTCCAAGTAGGACCACAAATGCTCTATTGGATTAAGGTCAGGTGAATTTGGGAGTCAAGACATGATTTGAAAATCACTGGAATGTTCCTCGACGATTCGACCCTTATGACATGGTGCATTATCCTGTTGGTAAACACCATCCCCCGCAGGAAAAACTGTTGCCATGAATGGGTGAACCTGGTCTGCAACTATGTTCAAGTAGCTTACAGACGTCAGGGATTGTTCTATGAGGATTATGGGTCCTAATGTGCCCCATGGAAACATTGTTCCTGGGCGAGAAACCATGAAAACCTGGGCGAGCCCATTGTTATAGATGGAGGGTGGTCATAATGTAATGGCTCTTCGGTTTAAGTCTTAATTAGTTTACCTATAATTGAACACGCAGAATGCATTCTCAAGAGTGACAGGCAGCCAAATTTAGAAAGTAAATTAATTTTTTCCATATCAAATTATTTTTAGTATCCCCAGAAGAGTTCTTAAAAATCTTCTGAAATTTCCTTGATGGAACAGTTTATTGTCTGAATAGAAATCTGTTATTTGTCAAAAATTGTTTCCAGAACAATTTGCTTATCTTACTTATATCATACCCCAAAATCTTAAATTAGTGCTGAAAGATATCAAAGAAACATAAGCTGAACCCGGCAGTCATTTGTGATAACGATTTTCTTTTGCCAGATTACCTAAAATAAAACTTTACTCAATTTAGTGGCAAGTTACACTGTGTTATCATTTACTTTATGACAACCAAGCCTAAAGCAAAAATTTCACCAACCCTTCGTGCAGTGGATTCTGTAGCAGGAGTTTTTAAAAAGACGAAACCGCTAAAAGTTGAAGACTAAACTCCATGTTTGCACACTAACCATATGACTGGAGACCCCTATAAAGATTTAAAAATTTAAGAGTGGTAGCCTATTTATTTGTGACACTACGAGTAAATAGTTAAAACGGCTAAGAGAGAAATATGCAGTTTACAATCTGAATACATGGTTCAGATTCGGAACACTTTATAAACTGAACATAGTAAGGAGTTACGATAACATCCAGACACTGCAAATCTGCCAAAAGTCTTTACTATAGGACGAATGTTTAGTGTCTAGGATTAATGCTTTGCAGTATCTATTAAAACACCTAGAAATTAGGCCTCTGCACTAGGCTCAATTTAGCAATCAGACGCAACAGTCTGCACCGCTAAACTGAGCAGTCTGGAAAAAAGATAAATGTTTGGATTACTACAGAATCTTATTTCTTGCTAATGGCAACCCGGGCGAAAGGCTTCTAGAATGTGCTGTGTGTAACCAACAGGTTTGTGTTTTGAAACAGTTTATAATAATTCACGTAGAATGATAGATTGGAATACAAAAGTTATTCGAGTTCAAAAGGTTTAAGAAACTAAACATTTGCCGAGAAATTACAGAACTTACTTTTCTACCAACAATGTTTCGACTCAAAATCTTTAAATTTATGATGTATACTAAACTAAAAAAAACACTTTAAAACTAAGAGAGTTTATTGAAAGGTAATATTACTACATTTTAGTTGTTATAGGACAACTTTGGATTCTTTTGTACAATTACCGGGAGCTTCACGCATGCTACATTTTCTTTAGATTTTGGGTCTTTCACAGCAAATCCAATTTCCATGTAACCCTAAAAAAGAAATAAATCTCCAAATTCAATGAATACTAAAAGTAAAAATAAAGTACGCTTTCAATTTGAAAGGAAATTATTGGATCTAAACTTAGATTTTAAATTTATTTTCTGCGTAATTTAGCTTAAATTTAACATTAGATCAAGGTTGCAGCAAGAGCTTAATCATATTCTTAAATTTTATATCAGCATACTCTGGTTTAATTTGCGAAGCCAGATTCAAATAACTAGTAAGGCTGCAAGTTTAATGTATCATGGTTTAAAGAACCAATATTATAGTCCAATATTTTATAAGAGAATTTAGACTAAAAGTTAAAATTACTAAATAAATCTTAATGAGTAAAAGGGGGAGACCAAAGCCTAGTTGAATGTTTGGTTTTTAATGAACCCCCTGTAGATTATGCAGGAGACTTAGCATCTTGCTTCCAGCATCCTTTGTAAAAATTCTATGCATGTAAGCAAATATTCAGTTTAATAGCGAAATTCCTTTAAACGTTTACCCACATTTTGTCAGGTTTTTAAAAACTTCTTCGAAGTTTTATTATCTACACTTAGTTGTGTGTGCATAACTCATTTTATCCAGAATGTGATATACAATGGAAATAGAAGTTTCTGGTTTAAAATGTGGCATTCAATGAAATAAGAACCAAAATCTTATGCTGTTTCAAACGTAAAGATTAAGTACTTAGATGTGTTTAGAGTTGTTTGCCTTAGAACAAACGCCTAAGTTAAAGCGATATTTGAAAAGTGCTACAAGAACATTAAGCTTAAAAACTAATGTCACCTATAAGGCATGTTCACAAAAATCGCAGTTTATTTGGAACTCAAAATATACTGTTCAGAGGAAACTAGCCAATTCCATCCATTATTAGATTAGTTTTAAGTCAGTTTATTTTAGTAGGCCATGGAAGACTTACTCTGTTAGCATGTGACCAAAGCTATCAATAAGGAATTTTCCCAAATTTTATTTTCTTGTTAATAGTATGGAACCAAATTTGACGCAGTTTTTATCCAAGTCTGATTTCGGTACTCACTTTCAATACCTAATTTGACGAAAAAGTACTTCGCAGTATTTGAAAATGATTTAAATAAGAGCCAATTTAGACAGTCAGATAAATTTCCACAATGAAATAAAGATTGCAAAGTTTATTAACTCTAAAGCTATCCCCGATAAAAATTAAGTGTAATGAACACTTGCCGAACTATACACGTGCCGAACACTTTTAAACTTGTTTGCATGTAAAGTTAAATATTAATTTGCTTTTATTACCCATGTTTTCACCTTTTGCAGTATATTTGCTTTCAACAATTCCTTTCATTTAAGCATACCTGCCAACTTTTAAATCCTTTCGAAGATTTTCCCCAGTGGTAGTAAAATTTAATTTAAGATACAATCTTTAGGCATAAACATACGCTGTATTTTAAAAAGCTTATGTGGACTACCATGACAGTATTGCATGTTTATATATTCTCAATTTTTTTATAAATAGTGGTGGTCAAAAATATTATAAATGCGAAGAATTTAAAAGTATATACTTACTACTTTAAACACAGAAATAAAATTTTACGCCAAATGCGTAAAAAAGGCAGGTATGATTTAAGTTCAGAAGATTCAAAATATTTTAAACTGTTTTAAGATATACAGAATTTTACCTGAAGAACCAGATTACCCTGCATATTAATTTATTTAAAAATTTAAATTGGGACAATTATGTCTAAGATTAATCAGACTGCAAAGTATTATGCAGTCTAATCTAAATCATACTAAAAAATAGAAAAGCTTTAGTCAAAAGCTTCGTAAAGTTAACAAATCAAAAGTAACTTTCATAGTTTTTAGTAGAGTAGTAGCTATTTTTTTAAATAAGCTTATTTAGGAAGGACTACGTTAATTCATTAACAATTCAAAGTCCAATAAGTAAAATCTAGGAAAAATTTGCTTTTAAAAATCAGATTAAGATATTTCTAGCTGCTAATTTCATAGATTTTGCTCCGTACTCAGTTTTTTCCAACTGAAATAAAACGTCTAATGAAAAGATAATTTTTAAGCAAGTAAAATAATGGAAGAAACTTTAGACTTACAGTTGGGTAGTATTTCATAACTTCGAATCTAAAGTTGAAGATATAGAAGTGTCCTTCATGGATTGGACAGGATGGCACAACATTTTCAATGCAAGCATTATTTCCAGAATTCATAAATGGTACCATATGATCATTGATTGTAGCGCTTGCAACAGTCTCTAGTTGAGATGCATCAAAAGCTGAAAAGAATTTTATTCTTCATTTAGTGCTTACAAAAATTAAATTTTAGAAAATAAGTCGTGAAACTTGTCGAAATGCAAGAAAAGTTACTAGTTTTGTATATTTGCAAAATATATCCATCGATGACAAGGCAAAGTCTTTAAGTTAAAAATATTAGACATTTAAGGAAAGAGTAAGTTCTTGCAACTTCAGCTTTGTGCAGCTTTAAAAAACAGGAGCCAAAGATCTTTAGATAATTTTGAAGAATTTTAACTTATGTAAACAAATGAACTAAAAAGGTTAAACTCTTACATTACATGAACTTTTAAAACGTTCATGAATCTTTACTATCGTTTATTAAAATTTAAATATAGTAAACTTTAGAGTTTTGTAGAATTATTTAGTCTTAAGCACTGTGCAAATTTTTACAAAATTATATAAAAATTCGGGTTGAATTAAAAAAACGAATTAAAATAATGTATCAAAATCCTAAGCAATACAGATTTCAAAAATATGTACCCCACAGAAATGTTCAGTTCAATTCCATCACAGAAAGTTTGTGGCTATTTTAAAGATCTACACATCTTTGTGAACTATTTATTACGAACATTACAGACATCTTTGAACGAGAGGTAATGCAGCGCAAATTCTATAAATACAGGATATTACACGATACTTAAAATACAGGATACTTTATTCTTAGCGAGGACAATGATGGAGTCTTTAACCTAGTATGTATTTCAGATAGAAAACAAAGTATTCACGATTACTTTTCTGCTTAATGAGACTGCAAAGAGTTCATTAATGACAAAAAAAAAATTAGAACAGTTGTAGAGGATGGATTAAATTCAAATTTAAGATCCACCTTAACTACATTAGAATACTCACAAATTACACTTACAAAACACTGATAAATTTCAACTCTCAAAACTACAGTTTTGAAATTCTAGAAACAGATTAGCATGCAGTCAATTTTTACATCTTTCTGAGAAATTACTCTACATAGCATATTCCGGGTTACAGGTATCAACGCATATTTTGAGTTTAAAAAGGCAAAAGTATGTTTGCATTTTAAATGCTGTTAATAAGTAAATTTCTCTAAAATTTGCATTTGTAGATACTATTTTCAGTTATATGTGCAAAACCTTTAAAACCGTTGAATTTAAAACACATAAAACAGTATTTCGTTTTAAACTCTACTCATTTTAAAACTTAGAAAATAGCAAATAAACATTGTTACGGTAACTTGCACATTTTAAATTCTGATCCATTCTTTAAGTTGGAAGCAAGTGTATCAAATTTAAAGTTCCAATGTTTGAGAGTAACTTAATATAAATACTCATGAAAGCATGATATGTCTAGTCTAACATATTCAGAAGATTTTTTATATATAGTAAAAAAAATTGTACGTATGCTAGTTGAATTTAAAATTAATTTAATAGTGAAAACTGAAACCTCGAAAGCTACTGGCTAGGTAGATTTCAAAGCAGACAACAATAAAAAAAAAATGAATAAAACTAATCCCACAACTTAGACAACTTTTTACGATAAGTTTCGTTTCACCATAGGATAGAACAAATCGGTATTAAGAATTTTTAAAATTTAAGCACTTCATAATTAGCGAATATATTGTTAGATTAGTATAAAGTATTCATTTAAAATTAAATAGATGTAGACTCGAAGTCAATAGATAAAAAGAATTCCATAAAAAGAAAAAATACATACGTGCAAGAATAGCAGCTTCAACTTTCACGCTAGTCCCATGTTCAAAAACGCAAGTTGTCCATCCTTCGTGTTCAACAGCATGACAAGGATGAATTATTACTCCAAGAACATTATTTCCACCTGCAGGTGTAAAAGAAAACAAATAGTGTTTAAAAAAAATCATAAATTATCAACATCGAAACATAAATAAAACAACAAAAACTCACTTTTACATTCCTGGAATGGTACTTGCTCAGCAAGAGAGTAGCTAATTAACAAAGTGAATGCAATTGCAAGCATTGTAATACAGCGCATTATCGGAGGAAAAAATCACGATACTATTGCTGGAAATATTTGATTACTGAGTAGCAAAACACCAAAACATGGCATTTTATATCCATTGAATGCAAATTCATCTTTTCACTTCAGTTTCAATAGCAGTAGTAAAGAAATGAATGCTACTCGCCTTTATCTACCCATTCGATTCTTGTGCCTCTTTGACCGAGCAATCTCGTTCATCTACCAAACGCTCTGTAGCGTGGCGGTAGGGAGTTCGAATCTCATCATAACCCTGGTTGTATCTTTTAATGTCCCTTTCTAAATTGTGCTATTTGTTCTTTAACCCCTCAAGGGTTTATAACCATCTTTGTAAAGAGCATACATGCCTGCATATGTATGAGTAACTTATTTTATTCCACTGTATTTCTAGTGTAGGTAGGTAAGTACTTCGCATTAAAGATGCACAATGTAACAGTCTGAAAAACATTACTGAGGATGATCCGAAGACATGTCATCGCAATTTTGATCCTCTGCGAAGGAAATGGCACTCCCTCTTTGGTGTAATAATTATTATTAAATTCTTCTATTTCTCCTAATCAACATTAGTAGGAACGTCGTTAGCTAAAAGTTAGTCTGAAGCATCAAGATAGTGGATTCGATTCCCACTGTATTTCTAATGTAGGTAGGTAAGTACTTCGTCGCATTAAAGATGCACAATGCAACAGTCTGGGAAACATTACTGAGGATGATCCGAAGACATGTCATCAGAATTTTGATCCTCTGCAAAGGAAATGGCACCTCCTCTTTGGTGTACCGCATTGGACTTATCGTTAAGACACGGTTCCCAGCAGATCATCGAAGTCAAGCATCACTGGCTGCTGTCAGTGTGCGGGTGGGTGACCACTTGGATCAGTCTGCGTAGTTACCGAGGGTGTGCGGGATTGGTCGTCGTTAAACTGTTCTACCCTAAAGGGCTCAACTTCGTTGGGCTATCGAAGTGGGCGTGCCAACCCATCTGCAGAGGATCAAAATTGTGATGGCATATGTCTTCAGATCATCCTCAGGGATGCTTCCCAGACCGTCGCCAATAGTCCATTGAGCAGCTGTAGTGCGACGTAAATGAACTACAACTACAACAACAGAATCATTCTTTGGGGGCCTGTCTGGCCGAGCGGTATCACCCACCAAACTCTCTGCTAAGCTTGGAGGTGGCGGGTTCGAATCCCGCCGTTACCGAGGATGAATTCTTAGTGATGCCTTTCTTTATATTTTGCTATCAGTCCTTCTACTTGGCGGTTTTTAAGTAGTAATTGAGCATACAAGCCTACCATTGTATGTTGTACTAATATGTAAGTAAATAACAGTTCTTCGCTTTATATAAACTTATATAATCAACTGAAGTTTGATAAATGGAATATTATTAAGAACTTATGCCAATAGAAAAGACGTAGGTGATATGAAAAATAATTTTATGATCCCTATACAAATAGATTGCGGTTAACTGAGAAACTAGTCTTCTCAACGTAGCTGCACAAAAGATGCTAGATGTATGAAGTGTGATGAAGGGCACTTTTCGTACCAATACAAAAAGCCCAGAGATACCCCGGCCAAGTGCATCAGATTTCAATAAGTTGTTCAATATTGATATAATCCGTGATAATTCGAATTTCAGTCCAATTACCGCCTTTTTATGCTCAGACTGCATACTATCAAAATACTATTAACTTCATCATAAAACTCTACTCAAGGGGATCTCCCCATTCCAAAGATGATTTTCACTTCAAAACTAAAGATTTACTTCTTTAAGGACTTGATTTGTCGTTTCAACATACTACAACTTCAAAGATATTTAGGACCTCCTAGAATACGACAAAACAGAATCGATGAATCGGTTAGTGGAGCTTCGTGCCAAACGCCGAGATAACTCCAATATCCAGCATCCAGCTCGCCCCAGTAAAAGGAGATCATCGAACATGGATACTACCTCTATCTTGGTCTGGTCATAAACAGCAAATTTAATTGAAAAGATCACGTCTAAACAGTCATCAACAAAGCACAAACAGCCTGCCACAGATTACAAATCCTTCTTCAGAACCCTAAAATGGAACTCAGACTTAAACGTTTACTTTACATCTCGATGATCCGTCCCATCCTGACTTATGCATCTCCAGCTTGGTGCAACATCTCTACATCACTCCTTAAAAAACTCAAAATATGCCAGAACAAAATCCTCAGGAAAATAACAAAAGCAAGATGGTTTATCCGCAATAAAAACATACATAGCGACCTCAACATAGATTTTTTAGATCATCACATTGCAAAGCAAAACTTCAGATTTTTTGAAAAGACCATATATTGTGACACCGCAGGATTCAACGAAATTTTTACTTTCGAAAACTTAAGAGAAGACATAAACCTCAGGCCGATTGCAGCTCATTTTTGTAGTGACATAATTTTAACTAAAATACAAAATATTTGATTTCCTTTTATTCCAATTACCAGAAAGAACCACCTTAAAGATTAAATACAAGATGAATGGGAAAAAGGCCGCTAACGGCCCCAGGCGCCCAGTTATATTTCGATGATGATGATGATGATGGATACTACCCCAACTTCCAGTGCTCATCGACTTGTTAGCCTCATCAAAGAACTTCAAGAATTGATGAAAGATCAAGAAGTGCTAAACCTGATCACGACTTTAATCAAGGGGAATACCCCTTCCAATTGATGTTCTACTGCCTGCAACTCATGCCTCACTTCATTAAGGAGGGGCCTCCCTGGCCGAGCGGTATCGCCGGTCCAAACGCTCTGTTAAGCGTGGAGGTAGCGGGTTCGAATCCCGCCGTAACCCTGGATGTATTCTTTGTGATGTCTTTCTCTGAATTGTTCCATCTGTATTTTCTACTTGACAATGACTTATAAGTATATATATTGAGCACACAAGTCAGCAAATGTATGTAATTTCAATAAAATCAATCAATAAAATCATTAAGGACTTTTAATCTGAACTATAAACTTAGAACTTTGAATCACATATGACCTTTTAGTTTTATGTCTCAACTGAATCGGTTAGAAGTGCTTCGGGCTTAATGCCGAGATTTCACTCATATCCAGCAGAGAAACTAGTCTAGTGCTGCAACAAAGAATGTTGATTTGGGCTCCGAATCGCTGAAGAATCTTAGCACATAAAAGGTAATAATATACATTATCGTATACTTAAATTGAAGTGCACTATGCTATATTCCAAATCTATTTTATTATCCTTCTGTTAAATGAGTTTTAAGCCATTAAATGCGGTCTTGGTTTGAGTGATAAAAATTCGGTGATGAAATTTTAAGGAACAGCTTAAAAATAAAACATTTTCTTTTCTAGCTAAGTAAATTAATAAAAAGTGGGAGATTAATGAAAAGTGATATTACTATGAACTGGACAAAAATATGTTGAATAAATTTATAAAGGTATGGATAACTTCAAAACTTAATTCTTGAACTAAGATTTTTTTTCCAAAGTCCTAGCGATTGACACTCGTCATTCAGGTATCAGGAGGGCAGATTTGTTGGTCACTCTTTCATGGGTACCCTATTAGGTGGGCCAACGCTGCTCCCTCAGTAAGAACAAATAGTATTGAAAATGAAAGAACATCCATGATCTTAAACTAAGATTTGGATCAAAAAAATTTAAATTTTGTTAGAATTTATGTAACAAATGGAACAAAACTGCCATAAGACTTAAAAGTTTTTAAAAAAAATTTCTACATGTAATACGCTTTATTTTAATAATATATGACTTAGTTTGGTAGGTTAAATAAATAAAAATGGAATGGTATTTATAGTAACGGAAAATAGTAAATGACGTAGTGAATGAAGCTTCTCAAATATTGAATAACATACGCGTAAGGCTATATCGTCTCTCTGCAGGCTTTAAAATTAAATACTGCTTGAAAAGCTGCTGCGCATTTCAAATAATTTTCTTCTTTATTAGCGAAGCTGACTATTTAACCCTTTGAGGCAGATTGGACACTGGTGTGCCGTTTTATGTATTTTTTTCTGTCACTCTATTTACAAGAAAATATATATTTAGGTCTTTTTTAATTACAAAATTTTCAATGATGAATAACAGTTTCTCTTAAATTTAAATAACCACAAATAAGTGCAAGCTTGAAAATACTAAATTATTACAAAATAATGAAAAAAAGTATGAAAAATATGTTTGACAAAAATTTTGTGTCAAAAGGTTTGACAAAGTTCAAAGGAAAAAGACTAATTTATAAAATTCCTAGTATAGTGACTTGCTTTATAGTAGTTATAGTTTTTAGTTTATAGTAGTTTAGTTTATAGTTTATAGTAGTTATAGTTTTTAGATAACGTTTACGTTTTAATTACGTTTTTTTTTCAGTGTCTAGCTCGATCATATGAATAACTCTAATTAAAGTTACTTTGTGTCTTCTGATAACTTCGAAGTTTTAATCATATATTTTTGAATATATGTACTCTTGAAATATGCAACAAATTAAAAATCAATTTTTTTAAACTGTTATACCAAGAAGATCCAAAGTTGAATGGATCAGCACACAATTTGCTTTTCTGATTCACTTTAACTATTTTATTTATTTATCTTATTAATTTTGCAAATCAAGAACATTTATGTATAGTAGGAACATAACCGTCATTTTCAAAACGGTCATATTTTTTGCGAAATTGAGTAATCAATTGTTTAGCTATATTTATAACTGAGAAATTCGATTAGTGAAGAAAAGAAATGGCACCGTTACAATTAACATTATATTCAGTAGTCAAAAGTTTCGTTAAGGGATCTAGGAGGTTTGATTTCATCCATGAAGCATCAATGTACATTTCAAATTTTTTATTTTCTGTAACTTATTTAAAACCTGATTTAGGATTCTGAACTCTTTTACTACCGTTTAGCAAACGCACAGGCATTATTTAAACTCAAACTTTTGTGTAATTCTAATAAATTAACTTCTATAAATTAAGGAGCTTCTATAATTTAATTTTCTTTACAGCTACAAGTTGAAGAAAAAAAAAGATAATACGTATTGCTCAGACGGTAAAATTCATATAAAATGTGTTAAATACTTGAAACAGCTTTTAAATTGGTAGTCAAATACATTAATTTTTAAACCATTCTAGATAAAAAATAAAAAGTATTTATTAAATGTTTGAATACTTTTTCTTTTGATTGAAATAATTTTCATATGACTAAAAATAAATGAGTAAATAAATGAAGTGTTTACCAATACTCAAGTGCTAGTATGATTTTAAGGAACATGCTATTCTCAAGACAATTACCTTTTCAGGTTTATGAGAAGTCTAGTAATCTTGCGTGCCACGTGAAAAAAATATTAATAGAGAAAAATTGAAATAAAGAAAACTTTGAATGTGTAACTTTAAACAAAATACTTGTGTTTGCAGACAATTCTAATCTACAAAATGGGTGCGTTTTTTTGTTTTGTTTCCAGTGAGTTGGTTTCAGTATTTTTCTATAACTTTGGAAGTTTTTTGAGTATTGTCTTACACTTGGTGTCAAATGCTTCAGTTATAAAACAGACCATAACATTTATTTTTCCAAATAAATATCAAAACTTTTAAGAAAAACAATTTAGACTTCTTAAATTCAAATAGGGCTTAATTGTGAGATGCAGGTCATTAATTAATTTTTAACTAATGAAACTAAATAACCTCAATTTTTCTTACATGCTTCTTCCACAAATAATAATAATAGTTTAAATAAATTTATTAATTTAATATTATCTAATGTTTATGACACTGAAAGATATCAGGTCATTACTTGTATAAACGGCATGTTTTTTTTTAAATTGAAAAGTTGAAAAGCAGAATAAAGCATTATTTAGAGTGTCTATCATTTAAAGTGTCTCTAAATTATCGTCTTATTTTTGTTTGGCTAAAGTAGTATAAAAAATATTTGACTAATTTAATTCATCTATACAATGAATTATTGAATGATAAAAATTTTCGAAAGTAAGACTAAAGTGTGTTCTAAAATTACTGATTCAAATGTAATTCCAATAGTTGCAAATATTCTATGACATTCATTAAATTGAAATGTGTTTTAGAATTATGTCTATGGAATATATCAAACCAGCCATGAGTTTTTAGTTTCCATAAACATTAACAGATGGCGTTGGAGTTATTAGGAATTTGTGGAAGGACTTGAGTTGTTAGTACCCAAACTTGAAACTGAAAATAAAAGAAAACTTATCTGAATACGGTCATTTCTTGTCCTAATAATTTCATCTTTTATGTGTCAGGAATTGACTCATTTATACTTTTTTTCAGATAGTTGCTTTATATTCTTGTTTTATCCCAAATATGGTTAATTTATGTATAAACAACTTGGGTTTATATAGCTATAAGCTACACTTCTTCTGAACTCGACGTTATTACTTTAATCTTTTCCGCAGTGTTATTTCAAGATACTTAACAAGTTTAAGGAATTTTCACTAAGTGACAGAGCTAAACGCAGAAACAACTTAATCTTCTACATGTGTGATATCTCAATGCGCATTTACACGATGCAGGCATTAAAACTTGCTTTAAGTCTTATATAACAAGCAACGCATTTTTTTTATTAGCAGCAAATATTTTTTTTTTATTAAAGTGAGTCAGAATTTATTACAAGCAAAAATAAAATAAGTTTTTTGATGAAAACTACTGAATCGATTAAAATTTTTTTTTTGTTTTGTTTCCTCTTAAGAGATTTTAGAAATTTATTTAATCATCAATTCTTACTTTTTAAATAACTTTTAAGATACTCTTTAAGGTAGTTTATCTAAATGTTGTTTTTAAGAAATTATTAAATCGATTTACAGAAATTTCCTTGTTTCGCTTCTGAGAGTTGTTTCGATAATTTGCTTTTGATAGTTGTTTTTATTTACTCTTGAAATCCATTTTTATTGTACACTTAAATGTAGTTTCTCTGAAAACTGCAGAATTAATTTAATACAGTTCTTTAAACCTCTATTTGCTTTTGAAAATTGTAAAATTTGACTTTGAAATTGAAATTCAAAATTTGAGAAATTTTTTATAAAAGAAAAACTTTAAATACAGTTTGAATTTAAATAGTTTTAAAGAAAGTCAGTTTAATAGTTTTAAGTAAATAAAAATATTTGGTTTTTCTCCTCTTTTCATGCTACAGAATTTTTTTTAATTAATATTTTACACCGATTCTTAAGGCATTTTTTTAAAAGAGTTTTTGTAAGAAACTTTTTAAAGAACTTTTTCTTTAAAACTTCTTATTAGAGAACTTTAATACGATTTTTCGAACTTAAGAAAATTTTACTTCTTAAATTCAAATTTAATATTTAGGAAAGTTTTTTTTAATCGAAGACTGAAAGTTGTAGTTGAAATAAATAAATAAGAAAAGGAATGAAGGAAGAAAAACTACGAATTAAAATGTGTGTCATAAATTTCTTTTTTTTTTTTTAAATCAATTTATTAGGTTCTTATGTCGAATTTTACACGGGATAGAGCATATTTAAAAAATATGAACTTACAAGTTCCAGTAAGCTGATCAGCGTCCTTCTAAAACTGAAAAAAAAAGGCAATGGAATTTCTATGAAAATCTTTGATAACTCGTTGCTTAACTTTTCAGTTTAATATTCTAAGAGCAGAAATCCTTCGTAAAGATTCTTACCTAAATAATTTTTTAATTGGAAAGATAAAGAGGGAGTTCTTGAACATACTTTTAGAAATTCTGCAACCTGTTTTTTCATCTTACTCACAGAAATAAAATTATTTAGCATTTACTTGTTTATAAAAGACATACAAATATTCATCAATATGTTTACCCGTTTTTCGTCAAAATTTTCAATTTGGGTATGTGTTCATTCTCAGTATTTATTTTGAAAAATAAAGACAACTGTGTTCACATTTTCTTTAATAAATATCTTTATGTAAAACTGAAATCATTCGATTTTGAGTTATTTAAACAAATGGTGGTAGCTAATCATAGAAAATATCTCCATTGTCTCACGGCGGAAATGGTCTACCTCTTGATTTATGCAGGGAGTTTTCTCGTATCTGTAAAATGTTGCATTTACGACCCCTTAGACAAGGAATTTTAGGTAATCTGGATGGGAATTGTACAGCCTGTTGTGAGCCTGGGGGTTTCAGTTCCACAATTTCGTGACCAATAGTATGATTCTGACAATG